AAAAATACGTGTTTTATTAATTAAAACCTACAAAGTGGGGGCTCAACCGATTGAAAACCGAGAAAACTGAGAGCGCGTTTGAAGGCGTAAAAGTTTTAGCCAAAAACTTAAAAGAAAAACTAATATGCAAAGTGAAATCTCTAATTTGAATAAAAATAATTTTCAAAAGAGGTGCAAACCCATTACAAAAACAAAAAGAAAAGCAAAAATCGTGTAATTTGACAAAAATACATTTCAAAAGAGGTGTAAAACCCATAGCAGCAACAAATCGGTGTAAATTGATCACATAGGTTCTTGAACCAAACTGTACCAAAAAATCAAAGCCATCAGGTGTCCAGAAATCTATATAAGTAGGCTGGTCGAGTGGCGTCGGTACAAGTGCATCAAATTGTGTTGTTGCGTAGTTGACTTAGCATTTGCGGAAGCATTAGTACAGTCAGTGTATACATATATACATACAAACGACGTTGTGAACAAGAAATCAAAGCCATCAGGTGTCCAGGAAGCTTAGTAGGCTGGTTGAGTGGCGTCGGTACAAGTGTATCAAATTGTGTTGTTGCGCAGTGAACTTGGCGTTTCAGTAGCGTCACTACAGTGTTTGTACATATCTACAAACAGACAAGCGTTGTGATGGTAAAAGGGTGGTTTTTTTGCACATAGCCAGTAGCGAGCAAAGACAAGGCGTCGGTTTGTGTTGCTACGTGCTAAGAACATTGAAAGTGTCGTATTGTTTCCAATAAGAAGATACAAACAGACATATGTACTTAAGTGAAGCGTAAGCAAGTGTTGGTGGACAGAACAGTGTAGTAACACATATACATAAGTGTATTTACATAACGACGCTAGAAACTGTCGTTTTACATTAAAGCTGAAGAAATATTAATGGTACGAATAGTACATAGCGAGAGTAATAGAGATCGCAATACAACAAAGTAAAACTCACAAAACGTTTGAAATATAGGTAAATTGAAGAAGCAACAGTTCAGTAAATGCAGCAATAGAAAAGCAGCGCAGCGGCAAGGCAATAGAAGCAGAAGTCATCGAAAGCAGCGATTACTGAAGACAAAGTACCCAGCAGGAAAAAGATAAGTTAAGAAGAGAAATTTGTGTTAAATCAACTTTGCTTGTTGTTTGCGTATTTTGTTGTACGTTCAATAGTAAATAGTAAAGTATATTGCATTTAAATAAACAAACTACTAAAGATATTGGTAAAAAACCGAAGAAAATAATAAGAATTTGTGAAATTAAAAACAACTAATTTTTCAAGATTAAAAGCAGATTGCGTTTATAAACGTGTACAAATTTCGTTCGAATTTTCATAAACAACTTCATTCATTGAAAAACTAGAATCTGAAAACTGGTTATTAATTTAAAATCTGTAAAAAGTAGAGATAATTTTCAAAGGAAAATTTAAAACTTGGATATATGTAATTATATTTTACAATAATTTTGAATCAAAAAATTATATTTTAAAAGTAGTAATATATATATTTTAAATTGAATATCGATAAAAATTTTCAAAATGGATGCTCAAGCAATATTAAATATGACTGTAGTGTTATTAAAGACGAAACTTGGGGAGTTAGATTTACCACTGGACGGACGGAAGAAGGATCTGAGAGAAAGACTTCTCAGACATTATGGGTTACTGAACGATGAGGAAGAAGATAAAGAAGAGGAAGAAAATGATTTTGAGTCGGTGTCATCACGGGGGGGAAGCGGTTGTTGTCAGCCCTAGGCTAGTCGCAGGTCCCCATTTTACTTTTAAAGATATTCAAGACAGCTTGGCTTTATTTAATGGAACAGACAATTTTGATGTTAACCAGTGGGTGGAGCAATTCGAGGAGAGCGCAGAAACTGTAGGGTGGACCGAGGTTCACAAGTTCATTTACGCTAAACAGCTGTTGAGAGGGGCAGCGAAGTCGTTCGTTAGAAGTCAAGTAGGTCTGAAAGACTGGAAT